CGCCCGGCCCTAAATTTTTTTTTTTTTAATAGAATTTTTTATGGTGCCAAAGGGAAGGCACACTCCTCTCCCTTTACTTACATCATTTCTTCTAGAAAACTTTGTAATAGGAAAATCTTTCTTTGCTCTCTTGAGATGTAAATTTTTTTAGAAAGCTAAATAAGCCTCTTGCCAGTTTTACAAACCAGGAATGTCTTTTGTTTGTTTGTTTGTTTGTTTTGTTTTGTTTTGTTTTGTTTTTTTGAGACGGAGTTTCGCTCTTGTTACCCAGGCTGGAGTGCAATGGCGCGATCTCGGCTCACCGCAACCTCCGCCTCCTGGGTTCAGGCAATTCTCCTGCCTCAGCCTCCTGAGTAGCTGGGATTACAGGCACACGCCACCATGCCCAGCTGAATTTTTGTATTTTTGGTAGAGACGGGGTTTCACCATGTTGACCAGGATGGTCTCGATCTCTTGACCTCGTGATCCACCCGCCTCGGCCTCCCAAAGTGCTGGGATTACAGGCGTGAGCCACCGCGCCCGGCCAGGAATGTCTTTTTTAAGGACCTTGGAGCGATTTCTTTGAAATATAAAGGTCAAGGAAGATAGCTCCCCTCCCTCCCTGTCTCTGTGGGAGTTTGGCAGGTGGCTGAGTCCAAGTTGTAATTACCTGCTTGTCATTGTGTTGTATTTGACCGGAGCGTAGAAAGTTATCACGAGACAAAAGTATGCCAGATTGCAGGGTCATTTATTTATGCCGGCGACCACAGAGGACTCACGTCTCTCCAACCTGTGGTGCCAAAAGGAGGGTGCCATGATTTTTTATACCCGAAAAACCACCTTGGGAGTGGGGGTGAGGGGCGGGGATGGGGATGATAAGGTTTCGGACATTTCAAGGGCTAGGGGATTCTGTGATTCACCTTCTGGGTGAAGACAAGGGCGGGGGTCTCCGGACATTCCAAGGTCTAGGGGACTTTTGTCATTCTGTTTGTTACCTCCTGTGGTTTACAGAAGTCAGGATATACATTTGTTTACACATCGTCTGGGTGGTGATAGAAGTTACAGATTTTAGCAGTTACTGATAAGAAAAGGTAAGCAGCTTTACATAGTTTTGAGGAACAAACTGGCAGTTCTATTCACAGAGGCCAAGGACAGTAGTCATTGTAAGGAGAATGGGGCAGCCATTTCAACTTATCTAAAAACAGTTTTGCATTTTATAAAATAGTTTTGCTCCGGTTCTGGCTCTAGGCGAGCACAATATCACAATAGAGATATGAGGTTTATTTTAACTTTGGATAAAGGCAGTTAGCTAACACATATGGCCACCCCAATTACCACATACCTGCTGTCCCTCTTTTGTTTTTTCTTTTTTTTTTTTTTTTTTTTTTTTTGACACAGAGTCTCGTTCTGTTGCCCAGGCTGGAGTGCAGTGGTGCAATCTCAGCTCACTGCAACCTCTGCCTCCTGGGTTTAAGCAGTTCTCTGCCCCAGCTTCTCCGGTAGCTGGGATTACAGGCACCCACCACCACGCCTGGCTAATTTTTGTATCTTTAGTAGAGATGTGGTTTTACCATCTTGACCAGGCTGGTCTTGAACTCCTGACCTCGTAATCTACCCACCTCAGCCTCCCAAAGTGCTGGGATTACAGGCGTGAACCACCACACCCTGTCACCTGCCTTCTCTTTCAAAAGCATTGTGGGCATTAGTGGCAACTCATGCAGAAGACTCAGGGATCTTCCAGGTATACTCCTGTTCAATGGGCCTGTTCCACTATGGCACGTTGACACAAACCAGCCTTTTCTTTTAAGGACGGTGGGGTCTGTTCTGAAAGCAGCCTTTACAACACCTATCACTAACCCTGTTCACTGCTATTTCTTTTCTTCCTGCTTTCCTACTCCCTTGATCTCAAAGTCACTAGGGGTATGTAGTGAGCACTTACCTCTGCTGTTAGCAGCTTTGAGAAATGCTGCTATGGGATGTGGGAAGCCATTAAAGGATTTAAGCAGGGAGAGGCAAGTTCAGATTAATGTTTCAGAAAAATATTTACTGTTTTCCAGCTAAAAATAGTACAGTACAATTTACTTTCTGGTCACAGCACACACCAGTCACATCCTGGAACTGAACTGCTCCAAGGTCTAGTCTGTCCAGTAGTTTAAATGACCTTTAGCAAATTGTCTTTACTACATTTGTACACTGCATTCATCAGTCTGCGCTTCCATGGTGAAGGGGGTAGAACTGTTATTGAGGGCTTTCCACATCCAGTATGTTCATAAGATTTCTACCCTGTGTGAACTTCCAGATGTCAAATAAAGGCTGGATGCTAACCAAAGACCTTTCCACATTCTTTACATGTGTGTAGGGTTGCTCACCAGTAGTAGTTCCCTGATGCTTCTTAATGGTTGATCCCAAAGAGAATGCTCTTTCACACTCATTACATTCATAGGGTTTCTCTCCAGTGTGAATTCCGTAATGGCAAATTAGAACTTTGAACAAAGGCCTTTTCATGTGTTACACTGGAGAAGGAAAAGCCATTATTGACATAATGCCATCTATCTTTCTAACCCACAACCCCACCTGGGAAGCCTGTCAGGAGCTCCTGTTAACATTACTTAACACAGAGGAGCAGCATAGAGTAACCCAAGCAACCCTCCAGTACCTAGAGAGAAACACCCTAGCAGGCACAGTTGATGCCCGACAATATGCAGAGGACCGTTACTCAGTGACAAATCCCCAGTGGGACCCCAATGAGGCAGAAGAGCTACAACGCCTACAAGGATGTCAGGAGGCACTCCTAAATGGAATACAGGCAGGAGGGGAAAAGGTAATAAATATGGGGAAGATTTCAGATGGGCCAAAAGGCAGATAAAAAGCCCTAGTGAGTTTTATGAGAGACTCTGTGAGGCATACCGGCTTTACACCCTGTTCAACCCAGAGGTTGCCAAAAATCAATGCATGGTAAATGCAGCATTTGTCAGTCAGGCACAGGGTGATACTAGAAGCTTCAAAAGTTAGGTTTTGAAGGCAAGAATGCCACTGAACTCATACAGATAGCCCACAAAGTGTTCATTAACCGAGAGGAGGAAGCTAAAAGAGAGATTAGGAGGGAAGCTAATCAAAAGCTTAAAAGGAAAGCCGATCTGCTAGTGGCGCCTCTCACAGAAAGCAGGAAAAATGTCACAAGAGGACATGGACATGGTGTTGGATGAGGGAGAGGTTCCACTCGGGAGGATTTTGAAAATCGGCCTAAGTTAGAGAAAGATCAGTGTGCGTGGTGCAAACAGAAAGGACATTGAAAAAATGGGTGCCCAGAAAGGTGGGTGACAGTTATGAAGTTCGGAAAAAGAATCAGAAGGCAAGCCACCACACCCCAGATGATCAGGACGCCAACCTAACCATCTTAGCAGGAGCCGAAGGTTATGAGGACTGAGACAGATGGGGCTCCATTTCTTCAGGAGCCTAGGAGCCTGTGGTCAGAATGGAGGTAGGGGGCCAAGAGATAGATTTTATGATAGACACAGGTGCTGAACATAAAACATATGCCACTTATAATTGGAGCCACTGGAGTGACAGAGAAGAGGACTTTTTGCCGGTCAAGGAGGTGTGTTATTGGAGGATAGGAAGTTCAGCATGAATTTCTACACCTCCCAAATTGTCTGGTCCCCTTGCTAGGAAGAGACCTGCTCCAAAAATTGCAGGCGCAAATCTCCTTTAAACCAGAAGGGAATGTGACTTTAGACTTCACCCAACCAAAGGCAATGGTGCTAGCCCTAACTGTGCCACAGGCTGAGGAAGGGAGGCTGTATACTAAGATGACACAAGCGCCAAACTGCTTCATATCCCCAGAGGAGGGAACCATATTGGCTAGACTAGTAAATGAATTCCTGGAGGTCTGGGCTGAAAATAACCCGCTTGTGTTGGCTGTAAATCATGCTCCAGTTGTAATAAAATTAAAACCAGGTGCCACCCCCATCCAGCTTTGCCAATACCCACTGCCTCAAGAAGCCATTAGAGGAATATGGAAACACATAGACCGACTTCAGAGTCATGGCATTCTAGTGCCATGCCAGTCACCCTGGAATACTTTACTCCTACTGGTGGCGGAAGCCAACAGAAAAACCTCATATTCCAGGAGTATATAGCTGCAGTAATTGTCCCAATGGGGCAATTTTCAGCTCACTGGGACCAGACTTCCACAGTGGTTTAAAAACTCCCCCACAATTTTTGGAGATGCATTAGTGACAGACCTTAAAGCTTACAACTCCCCCAAAGAATGTGTCATATGGCAGTACGTGGATGATGATCTCCTAGCAGCCCCTACTCTAAAAGTCTGCTCCACTTATTACAGAAAGCAAGATATAAAGTATGAAGGAAAAAGACTCAAGTCAGCCTGACAAGTGTCAGTTACCTAGGATTCAGCATAAATCAAGGAAAGTGGAGCCGAGGTATGGCCCACATAAAGGCTGCTTGAAACCTTCCAACCCCAACCTGCAGGCACCATGTAAGAGAGTTTTTAGGAGCAGCGAGGTTTTGCCACATCTGGATTCCAAACTTCTCACTCATAGCAAAGCCACCCTTATATGAAGCCACAAAAGGTGTGGGGGAGAGCCTTTCCTTTGCAGAACTGAGCAGGAGAAGGCATTTGAACAGGTAAAGCAAGCCTTAACTGAGGCCCCAGCTCTAGGACTACCAGACATGGCCAGGCCTTTCTATTTGTATATTCATGAGTGGAAAGAATAGCCATCAGAGTCTTAACCAGGGTCCTAGGGTCATGGCACTGCCCGGTGGCCTGTCTATCCAAACAATTAGATGTGGTGGCACAAGGACGGCTCCCCTACCTTAAGGTACTAGCTGCCACAGCTATGTTAGTATGAGAAGCAGACACATTAACTTTAGGGCAGCATCTGACTGTGTGGGTGAGCATCTGGTCCTAACTCTAATGGATCAAAGGGGACACCACTGACTGTCAGACCCAAGAATGACTCAGTACCAAGGGTTCCTATGTGAGAACTCACATAACTTTAGAAACTGTAAAGACCCTCAACCCAGCTACCTTGTTCCCCATAGAGCCAGGAGCCCCACTCCATGACTGTCTACAAACAGTAGATGAAGTATTCTCAAGTCAGATCTTACAGATCGCCCTCTCCAGGAACCAGATGGGAGCAGTTTCGTAGCAGGAGGGACCGGTGGGCTGGGTACTCAGTGGTAACGCCAGACTCAGTAGTAGAAGCTTAATGTTTGCCATAACAACTATGAGACTCTGTGTCTGTGTGCATGTTGTTTATAAGTATATGGTATACTTGGCTGGGCACAGTGGTTCATGCCTGTAATCCCAGCACTTTGAGAGGCCAAGGCAGGTGGATCACCTGAGGTCAGGAGTTCAAGATCAGCCTGGCCAACATGGTGAAACCCTGTCTCTACTAAAAACACAAGAAGTAGCTGGGCATGGTGGCAGGCACCTGTAATCCCAGCTACTTGGAAGGCTGAGGCAGGAAAATTGCTTGAACGTGGGAGGCAGAAGTTGCAGTGAGCCAAGACCATGCCATTGCATGGGCAACAAAAGTGAAATTCTGTCTCAAAAAAAAAAAAAAAAAAAAAAAAACTGTATACTTATAAAAGATACATAAATTACATATGTTAAGAGTAAGGACTAGCTGGGGTCTGTGACCTCAAGCTGGAGCCCAGGATGGGCTGAAACCCCTTTGCTGCCCTACAGGAGAAGCTGGAGCCTTTAGTCTTGGAGCTGAAGGAGCCAGAGGAAGATATGGTAGCTGTTGCCTTATGTAGCCCAGGTGAACCAGCAGATACACTGGCACCTGCCCAGACCTTCTGTAGCTGTTTCTACCTCTGGACACACTAGGTAATTCTTACATTTTTTCTGCATATTGCCTGCTGTCCCTATTCACATGTATGGTCCAGGAGGGCATGGGTTAGGCATGCTGCGTGTTCACTGATGTAGCCCCAGCACTTAGTGCTTAGCACAAGCACTGAATAAACATTGTGCTGTTGAAGCACAAAGACAGTGACAGAGACACAGAAGGGAAGTGCTAGAAAGGATGTCAGTTGTTAAATCTAAGTGAAGGGCATGAAGGTATTCATTGTATTATTCTTTCAACCTTTATGAATGCATGAACATTTGCAAAATAAAAAAGTTGTGGAAGAGGGAAAAAAAAAAACAAAAACCAGGATGCACTGAGGTCTGAGGTGAAGGTCCTAGGAGCAACAGTTCTCTGTTGAGGTCAAGGTTCCTGGGACAGAGCTTGATCCCTGTCAACTGGTAAAACAATCCAGGACAATCCAGTAATAGAGCTGAATTTCAGTTACCTTGGTCCTGAACTTCACAGCCCCTTAGCAGTGGGAATCCTGTGACACCAAGCTGTGTGTAACCACAGGGCTGACCTAAACTGATCCTATTCTGTTGGTAACAGGAGGTATAGCAGGGCCAAAACTGAAAGTCATGTGACCTGGGCATACACAGAGGAGGAAAATCATAACTCCGAACCAACGTTTCCTCCCTGAGGAGCCAAGAAGACAGGAACATGACGGGAGCTTGAGTGGCAGAACGCTTTCAGAAAGGAAGGGTACATCATTCTGGAAGATCTGGTGCTGAAACCTGCCATTCCACACTTTACCATAAATGGCCAAGTTTAAAGCCCCGTATTGAAACCTTTCTGCCAGGACTTCTGCGTGCCAACCTATCCTCCCTAACCCATCAACTTTGACCTAAGCCCAGACGTGGGAGACACATTTGAGCCGTGCCTACGGTCTCCTTGGCCGTCGACCTCAAAATAATAAAGCCTTCTCTTTTCTCAGAAACTGGTGCCATATTATCTAGTGCGCCAGGCAGCAGGTCCATTACTCAGAAACGCGCGTAGTGGATGGAAGCCCCGTGAGGCGGGAACTGGTGCCCACAAGGGCTGTGAAGACGTTCGCTAAAGCGCAGCACAGACTTGGCGTTTGCCTGGTGCGGGGCAACTATGGAATTATCACTACATTCCCCCCCCAACCCCCGGCCGCTGCTTCCAACAGCGTGGGCAGGGCACTTGCCTCGAGCCCACCCCCCAGCCTTAGGCCTTCGCCGCCGCCCCAGCCCCGCCCTGTGGAGAAGCCTAGTGAGAGGCTGGGCCAGGCCACGCGCCGGATGGACGAGGCGGACCTGGCCTTCGGGAGTGGGGGAAATGCCTATCGGAAGGTGGACTAGGCCGCCGGCCCTCCCCTCTTCTGGCCCGGCTCCAAACCAGATCCACCCTCCCTGCAGCGGCTGTCAGGTGCAAGCCTCCACGCGGGTGAGGCCCGCGCCCTCCTAAGGCCTCCACCCTCCCCCAGGTGCGCGGTGTAAACAAACCAAAAAGCAAACCCAAGGGCCGAGTGGACGACGGAGGCGGTCGCTGTTCGGTGACGCTCGCCTGCAGGGACCACGCCGGCCCGGGCACAGCGATGAAGGGCTGCGCCTCGGACCTCGTAGCGCTCAGCCTCATAAGTGGGCAAAATAACCACGCAAGTCACCGAACAAGAAGACTTCAGTGTTCCAACTGAGAGAAAGGGCCCCTGAGCAGGCGACACCCGTGCTGCAGCGGCGCAGGGACCAGCCAGGAGACTGAGGACAAGATCGTTCTCAGCAGCGGGGACCGCAAAGGCGGGGAACAAGCTCGAGTTCCGGGAGGGCCGAAGCCAGCGCAAGCCGAGGAGGGGCTGTTGGGCAAGCAGGGGTGTCCCCCAGACGGCGACCGCGGCAGAAGCTCGAGAACCCAGACTGCGAGCGGGTAAGGCTCGGCGGTGGGCTGCAGCCTTCGCGCCCGGAAGTAGAGAAGGAGACCCGGCCGGGTCCATTTCCCTGAGCAGCTCGGCCCCTCTAGGGATCGCGGAGGCCTGGCTCTCGCTGGCTCTTGAGAGCAGGCTACAGTCGGTCACCGAGGGAGGCTTCGGACCGGGAGGCGGGCCAAATGACGTAAACAGCGTTGCCCTCCAGGATTGGCGGACCCGGCTGTGGAGGCGGAAACTGAGAGGCAAGAGCCCCCAGGGATTGGCGGCTGCGCAGACGGGGCGGGGCAGCCCTTTGTCTGAGGGTGCTGCGGGCTCCCGTCACTTCGCGCGTGAGGCTGCGGCGTGGACGGTGAGTGGGGGGTGCGTGTCGGCGCCGGGCCGGCCGGGACCCTTTCCCATCACTGACACCCGAGCCGGCGCGTCCTCCACTCGGATCGTGAACTCTTCCCCTCGGGCAGGCACTGCCGCTCCGTTGGCGCTGGTCCCCTCCCCTCACCGACGCGCGGCGGCCTCCTCCCCAGGGCCAAGACCGCGCCCTCTCCCCGGTTCGGGGTTCCCATCCTTCCCCTGGCCCGGCCTTGGACCCCTTCGGGCCCTCCCACGCCACCGCCTGCCTAGGAAGGCTTCGGTCCCTTCCGCGCCCTTCCCCCCTTGGGCTCTCTCAGACCCCCAACGTTTCTCCCATTTTGGATTTTCTCAGACCGCCCCGCGTCCCTCCCACCTTGGATCTTCTCAGATCCCCGGCGTTCCTCCCCCCTCGGGCCCTCCCGAGCCATTTCTACCGGGCGCCGTACCTCGGGCCAGGTTGGCGGGAGTCCTAGGGGACACCCCCCGCCCCGGGCCGCTCTTCTTGCCGCGCTCCCCCGGGTCTTGGTGGAGAGGATGGAGCCGACTTGTTCCCTGGGTTGGGCCCGGAAAAGGTTGGGGAGCTTCCCCAAAAAATAAAAATTCAGGTTTTTCTGTTTTATGCAAAACCTGAGGAGCCCCATGAAGACCCCGGCGACGCACCGGGAGCGCCACTTTATTTAGCAATAAAAAGTCTTCCCGCGTCGAGACGAAAACGAGCTGCTTTCGTCTCAGCTGTTGGTCGAGTGTTCTACTTGCCGAATGTCTTATTCTCCCCCTATATTGCTATTGATGCTGTCTTTTCTGTTACTTTGTCAGAGCCCTATTTTAATGAATGAGCCCAACTCTTTGGAACACAGCAAATATATTCCTTCTTGTTTACTGGCTTAATTTTTTAATTGAAAATAATATGCAATACTTCTTCTAATCCAACCATATCTGAAAAGTATAAAAGTCACCCACCTTCATACACTGCTAGTGTATGAAGAGGCAGGGACTGTGAAGAGTTTCAGAATTTTTGATTGCCGTTACAGCTCTAGGCAGGCGCGCACACCCTTTTTTCTGTCAACATTAAAGAGAAGCTGGTGTCGTTTGGACTAACACCGGGGACGGCAGGGGGCGCTCCACTCGTGCTCCGCCGAGTCGGTACTCAGATTTTTCGGTTAGTAACTGTCTTCTGGACATCGGTTTCTCTGTCAGGCGGACTCTGTGAAGTGGGTAAGGGTGGGAGATTGACATTGACATTCCCGCCCCATACAGGGCTGTGGTCCAGTGTGCTTGACAGGTCCCTGCATTCCTGCCAGGTCGACGTTTTTCGTTTATTGGTGAGGTTAAAATCCCTTCGTTTGTGTTTTAAACGTTTGTATTTCTTTGCGATTTTCCAGCTCATATTCTTTTCCATGTATGTTGAAAACATACTTCTCAATTTGTCTTTTGACTCTGATTATGGTGTTTGGTTCTGGTTTGGGCTTTTCGAAATAGAAAATTTTAAATTTTTGTGAGTCAAATATTTTGCCTTAAGGCATTTTGGGCTTTGTGCTGCGTTTTAAAGGGCTTTCCCCACTCCAAGATTATTTTTTAAATAAACTCCTGTTTTTCTGTGGTACTTGTAAAATGTTGGATACATCTGGAATTTATTTTCTTATGGGGTGAGTTTGGAATCCAGCTTCGTTTTTTTTCCCTGAATCATAGCCATTTCTAACACCATTGATCTCTCCATTGATTTGAAAAACCACCTTTGTCATATCCTAAATTGTTGCACGCCTTTAGGTCCATTTCTGGAGTTTGGTAGCTTTGATGCACATGCGATTTTGATTCATAAGCTGCAGATCTATGGATCTCTGTCCCTAGTCTTTCTGCTTTTGGTATTTTGCTTAGAACAGCCCTTCCCACATAAAATAATAAAAATATACCTGTATTTTTATTAAAGGTCCTTTTAAATTTAATATAATTATACATATTCATGGGGTACATGTGATATTTTGATACAAGGATACAGTGTATAATGATCAAATCAGGGTAATTAGGATATCTGTCACCTCAAACATCATTTTTTGTGTTGGAAACATTTCACATCTCTTCTTCTGATTTTGAAATATATAACAAATTACTAACTTTTGTCACTTTACTGTGCTATCAAACACTGGAACTTATTCATTGTATCTGACTGTATGTTGTAATCATTAACCTACCTCTATTCACCTCACACCTCCCCCTCAACCCCACCCTTCCCATCCTCTGGTAACCATCATTCTACTCTCTACCTCCAGGAGACCAACTTTTTTAGTTCCCACATATGAGTGGAAACATGCAATATTTGTCTTTCGGTACCTTGCTTATGTCAGCTAATATAATGACCTCCAGTTCCCTCCCTGTTGCTGCAAATGACATCTTTTTTTCTTTTTTTTTTTAAGATGGAGGCTAGAAGTGGCGTGATCTCAGCTCACTGCAACCTCCGCCTCCCAGGTTCAAGCAGTTCTCCTGCCTCCTGAGTAGTGGGATTACAGGTGTGCAGCACCATGCCCAGCTAATTTTTGTGTTTTTCATACAGATGGGGTTTCACCATGTCAGGCTGGTCTCGAACTCCTGACCTTGTGATCCACCCACTTCGGCCTCCCAAAGTGCTGGGATTACAGATGTGAGCCACCACACCTGGCCAACTTTCTTATTTTTATAGCTGAATCATATTTCATTGTGTACATATACCACATTTTCATTATCCATTTATTTGATGTACATTTAGATTGATTCCACATCTTAGCTATTGTGACTATTGCCGCAGTCAACATGTATGTTCAGGTATGTCTTTGATATACTGACTTCCTTTCTTTTGGGTATATACCCAGCAGTGGAATTGCTGGATCATATGGTGGATCTATTTTTAGGGTTTTTTTCATATGCCTGTTGGTCATACATATTGTATTTCTTTTTTTGATAAATTATTCAGATCATTCACCTGTTTTTAAATCAGATTAGTTGTTTATTAAATTGTTTTGCTCCCTTTTGCATTCTGGTTATTAATCCCTTGTTGGATGGATAGTTTGTAAATATTTTCTCCCATCCTGTAAATTGTCTCTTCGTTCTGCTAATTGTTTCCTTTCCTTTGCAGAAACCTTTTAGCTTGGTGTAATCCCATTGGTCTAGTTTGCTTTTGTTGCCTATGCTTTTGAGATCTAACCCAGAAAATGTTTTCCCAGACCAGCATCCACAAGTGTTTCCCTGATGTTTTACAGTTTTCTTTATAGGGATCCTGTGCATTTCTAAGGTTTAATCTTGTTTCTTGTTGCTATTTGTTGCATACATTTTTTTTCCCTTCACATTTTCTGACTAGGTGTTGCTGGTATATAAGAAAGCTATCAATTTGGGTTTTTGTTTTGTTTTGTTTTTCATTTTTTGAGATAGAGTCTCACTCTATTCCCCAGGCTGGAGTGCAATGGCATGATCTTGGCTCACTGCAAACTCCACCTCCTGGGTTCAAGCAATTCTCATGCCTCAGCCTCCAGGGGAGCTGGGATTTACAGGCACATGCCATCACACCTGACTAATTTTTGTATTTTTAGTAGAGATGGGGTTTTACCATGTCGCCCAGGCTGGTCTTGAACTCCTGACCTCAGGTGATCCACCTACCTTGGCCTCCCAAAGTGCTGGGATTACAGGCGTGAGCCACCACACTAAGCCAGAAAGCTATCAATTTGGATACATATTTATGATCATTAATTCTGGAAAGGTTGTAAGTTAGGGTTAGTTTAGGTTAGTTAGATTAGGTCAACTTTTTTGCATTGTGCTCACAGGTGGCTCAGAAGCCTCCTGTCTTGAACGTGCTTTCACCTTAGTGGATAAGGGGCTTCTTGGTGATGAAGAGGGAGCAGTGCTTGTTAGCAGAAAGTCCAGGGAGTGAGGATGATGAGGAGCAAAAGAAGGCAGTGGCTCTGGAGGAGATCCTGGCAGCTCACCCCAGACCAGGAGACTCCAAATGTGCCTGAACCAGTGTGTCACCATGTGCAAGGTCCTCTGGAATGACAGGCATACTGCTTTGTCACATTGAGACAGGAGTTCCAAAAAGAGTGATAGGAGTGTCTCACTGCCATGTGGCTTTTGATCACCTAAAGAAAACTGGAAAGCCAGTTGCTAACAACATTGATCTATGGTTTTTGTTTTGGATTATTCCCTAGGGAAATTTTCAAATTTGAAATTCCTGAGTTTGTAAAATGAACTCCATGCTGCCACTTTTGTGACCAGTGGGTGGGTAGGATCATTGTTTAGCCAGTGCCCTGAGTGGGTGTTCTTTATATTGCCCAATGTTAGCTGTTGGCATGGCCTCAAGAGAGGGGGTCCTCAAACTCCACTTCCAGTATTCTGGCGTGGTGATTTCTAGCCTGTCCCAGCCCCTGGCCCTGAAGCCTGGCATCTATAGAGGACTTGTGATGAGCCTGTCTTTTAATTTTTAAAAACTGTCCACATTCTCCTTCCCTGCCGGAACTGTGTTTTTTGTTTTTTTGAACTGTGTTCTTATGGAGCAAAGATTGGAGTTGGGTCTCAGAATCCCGGGGATGAAGTAGGGATGGAGTGTGTTGTTAAAAGATGGTTTCTGGCACCCCAGATAGTTCTGTGTATGCAAGGTTTAGGTTGAGGCCCATAGTGTTTGCTTGTCTTGGTGTCCTGTTGCAGGCTTGTTCCAGGAAACCGAAACCGTTATCTGCCATAGCATAAGTAAGGAAAAAAATTAAACTAGTTTATACCACTTTTAAACATTTTAAAATGTATTTTGTTCATATATATATGTTTTAAAATTTTTATTTATTTATGTATTTTGTAAGACAGGGTTTCATTCTGTTGCCCAGATTGGAGTGTAGTGGTGCAGTCACAGCTTACTGGAGCCCTGACCTCCTGGGCTCAAGCAATCCTCCCACCTCAACCTCCAGAGTAGCTGGGACTATAGACCAGCTAATTTTTTTGTTGGTTTGTTTTGGTAGAGACGGGATCTTGCTATATTGTCCAGGGTGGTCTTGAACTCCTGAGCTCAAGCGATTCTCCTACCTTGGCACTCTAAAGTACTGGGATTATAGGTGTGAGTCACCATGCCTGGCCCATTTTCTTCATTTTTTTACCAGAATACAATCATACTTTGTGATGTGGTTTTCTTTTTTTAATTAGCAATATGTGAAGGTCATCTTTTAGTAGAGACCTGATACAGCATTTCGTGTTTATGCTTTTCTAAGACTCACCCCAGGTAGCAATTTTTCCCTTTTTTTTTTTTTTTTTTTTTTTTTTCTTTTTTGAGACAGAGTCTCACTCTTTCACCAGGCACAAGGCTGGAGTGCAGTGGCCCCATCTTGGCTCACTGCAACCTCTGCCTCCCAGGTTCAGGCAATTCTCCTGCCTCAGCCTCCCAAGTAGCTGGGACTACAGTCACGTGCTACCACACTCAGCTAATTTTTGCATTTTAGTGGAGACAGGGTTTCACTATGTTGGCCAGGATGGTCTCAATGTCTTGACCTCGTGATCCGCCCATCTCGGCCTCCCAAAGTGCTGGGATTACAGGTATGAGCCACCACGCCCTGCCACAATCTTTCCCTTTCACTTCTCCCTGCCACACATTTGGTAACAGACTGGTATTGTCCTTTGGAATTTTTCCTCTGTGTGTTAATTTAATCAAATAGATAATACCTTATCCAGCAGCATCCACCTCTGAGCCAGGGCTGTTCTATGAGATCTCCTCCCTAGGCCTTCAGAGGAGTGTGTCATCTCCTGGATTTATAGGTGTGGCCTCAGTGCAGCTGGCCCAAGTGAGGCAGATGAACCAGTCCCAGGTACCTGTGACACACAAACCCTTTGTGGGCTTGGGGTCATAGTTGACAAAATGAAATCATCCCCTGCATGCCGACCCCATGCTGCATTTTCACTTATCCATCTGGCGACCTGACACAGCACACGTTTCTCTTTAGCAGATATGTCACTTGTATGTAAAAGGACCAATGTGGCATTTGCCTCAGCAACATTTTTGAATCTGCACCCTCACCCACATCCATTCTTATAAGACACCCACTATCCATATAAGACACCCACTATCCAAGGGCCAATCTGATTTGCCTAAATACTGTTAGGTAGCTTTCAGTATAAAATTGAGAAAGAGTATGAGAAACTCTACTTTCCCACACCTGCCAGTGGCAAGTGTTGACTCCTTACTTGCTATTACAAATGACATAAAATGTGAGCTCATTGCTGTTTATTAATTTATTCAACAAACAGGCCAGGTGTGGTGGCTCAGGCCTGTAATCTTGACACTTTTGGAGGCCAAGGAGGGAGAATCTCTCGAGCCCAGGAGTTCAAGACCAGTCTGGGCAACATAGCAAGACCTCATCTCTACCAAAAAAAAAAAAAAAAAAAAAATTAAGAAATTATCCAGGCATGGTGATGCATACCTGTAGTCCTAGCTACTTGGGAGGCTGAAGTGGGAGGGTCGCCTGAGTGCAGGAGTTGGAGGCTCCAGTGAGCTATGATTAAGCCACTGTACTCCAGCCTGGACTACAAGTGAGACCCTGTCTCTAAGAAATCAATTAATTAAAAGTTTTTTTTTTGGCCGGGCGCGGTGGCTCAAGCCT